AAATTCATAAATCTGCCACACTACTTATTAGTAATGACTTCTTTGTTAAGTGAATGAGGGTCACTTTGAATAACAGTTTGACAAAATCGCTTCATAATAGAAATGCGCTCCACAAAATCAGAATACCAACTATTTCTGTCTTTTCTACATGATACCCCGTTTTCTAGGGTTTGTTGTCGAATAATTTTGCACTTTGTATTGATGCGTTATTGTAATAGTTTCTCAAAATTAATTCGCTGAATGTACGTTTCATTTCATTACGGTTTTCATAAACGATCGCATAAAAAGTTATGCCTGATGCACATCTAGTCAAATATACTTCCACAACTGTCAACCAGATCCTGGTACATGGATTTAATTGTACATATCAGATCCCATGAGCGACTCTTATTTATAATTCTACATAAACCTGATCTTCTTAAACATGAATTAATCAGGTATATCAATAAATGGCTCATTTTCACAAAAATTAATTATAGTCGTGAGTTTTATCATTACTATTATTAGTATAACTGTGTTAGGTTGATTACTTTTCATTAGCTGAAGACATACGTTGAAGCTGAAAACTCAGTCTCTGAAATGGCCAAAGCAGTGTTGTTTCTTAAAATCGACTTGAATTGCTGTGTTACCAAGTGACGTATTTTAAAGAAATCTCAAGTTCGGTGAACAACGTAACAACCAAAATGTCAAATCCTCCAATATTTCCAACAATCTCAAACCATACAATTTGCATATTTGTATCTCAATCGTGATTTGACTTGGAGAATACATAAATTGAACAAAGGAACGGGGAGACGACTGCATTCCAGGGGACAACAGAGTGAGTTCTGATGAGGCGACTGTTTAATTTAGAAAAGACCCAATTGTGAAAAATCTCCAACAATCTCAAACCATACAATTTGCATATTTCTTTCGCAATCGTGATTTGACTTGGAGAATACATAAATTGAACAAAGGAACGGGGAGACGACTGCACTCCAGGAGACAACAGAGTGAGTTCTGATGAGGCGACTGTTTAATTTAGAAAAGACCCAATTGTGAAAAATCTGGATTTCGACTGGATTCGAAGCAGCGACAGAAACAACATGCCCGAAGGTTGTAAATGCTCTACCAGCTGAGCTACGAAACCATGCCGGAAGCTCAGAAATTTCACATTTGCACCTAGTTACTCACCCAACCAACTGTGTCACATGGACTCCACCAAATGATCCAGCTGATTGACTGCCCAAGCAGGATTTCTCGATCAGTTCACGCTGGAGACTACCAACGTAACCGATGAGCATTGACATTGAATTACTAATAAGTAGTTTGGCAGATGTGATAATTTAGAAGAAACCCACTTGCGAAAAGTCTGGTCTGTTTGACTGCTAAGAACGTTTGCTGACGATCTGTTACTGAGCTTTTGAATTCAGACTGGCTGACAATCCTAAGTATCTGTTGATGTTGTTGAGCTCATCTCGTGCACGCAAAAGTGTAAATGGCTTATCCGGAGATTTTCACAAACGGAACAATCTTAACAAGCGATAATATCAGAGAATGGGCATGAACAGTAAAGGTCAAATTGCTGGGAGTCCGTGATGTTTAAGTGAGCTTCCATTCTAGCGAGAATTCGTTTCCAGGATTATTCATGGTTTCGGACGTTCTTGGGACCTAACGGCATTTAGCGCCTTCTCTTTGAGGATAATGTGACTGGCGTTTTTCTCCAACAGTTCTGCGGTTTGTGAGACAGTGAGCGAATGACTCATCTACAGACTACCATCAAAACGCCGTACATTCCTTAAGAAAACTGGCTGACAAACCATCAGGTCCGTTTAGTTTGCCGGACGTCAGCCGAGCACGTCCTCTTCAAACGGTTGAACTATCAATTTAAAAACAACGTCTCAGTAGAATGAATAATTCTGTAGCAATCAAAAATTAATTGTTGAGCTTACGCGTTTCTCAATGGGCTTTCGTTTCTCAATGGAAGGAGTCCATCCACTTAGATTGTTCGTGGTCTGTCAGATCTCGTGAAAAATCCAACCCATCAAAATATGAATGGACATCGAAAATAAAATACGTACTTCATATAAAGTGTGTACAGCACTAAGAACTAACCATGTTTTCACTCGGGGAATTTTTTGTAAACATGGTGTAGACAATTTCGCGATGCGAACAAAACGCCCACAGACGTGAAATCAGAAATTTGTAGATCTGATCAATTGACCAAATTGATCAGACTGACCGTCGTGTACAAATGAGGTCACATAAGATAAGGATATCTTTTCCCTCGGCCTAATGTGGTCGTGGGGAAAGACTACCAACATCTACTTCTGGGATCTCCCTATCGAATGAAATGCTTGTGATATGTTTTGCACCACACTCCTTCATAACATGGTACTTAGAATTTCTATTCGAGGACCTCTCATGTACAGGTATATAGTTAAAGAAGACTAACCTGAAATATAGGCCCGAACATGTAGGAAAGTTCACCGTTTTTTGTGTGCAGAATGAGAGTGGCAGGAAAGGTGGAATTAAAATCATCGTGTGAAGAAACTCTAAAACATCTGTTACAAAGTAATCATGAAAAATGTCACCATCACACAGAGGTTGATTAAGATGGATAAATTGTATACGTTAAACCTGAACGACAACCGGCTGTTAATTTACTCTTGTTTTCAACTATTAAATAAACAACTGTATAAAAACATCAGTCAAATGGACCCTCTGCATCCGCAAATCGCGTGAATAATAGTCTTCACTATGACGTACAATCCTCTGGACATTCGGCTATTGCAACAAATAAGGGAATACACAGTTTACTAAGTTGAACGGGTTTATAAGCAACAGACGAGTAACTTGACATTCTGCTGCAAGGGGCTTAACTGGACGAACCGTTCAGATGGTCGTTGACACTTACCGACTGCTATTCTCCTTATCGATTAGAGATCTAGTGCATATACCTCTCATAAACTGTGGGACCAAATATTTGAGCACTGTACCAGGTTTGACAAAATGTTATCAACCTTTAATGAAAACGGTAGTTTTCAAGTAGTTTTCAGTAATCGAAAATGGTAGTGTTGCTCATATTTTATGATGAAAGTATGTTGAACAGGACAAGCAGATATGAGTCGCGCACATGTACGAATGAGAGTCGATGGCCGTTATTCAGCAATTATCGAGCTTGGAATAAGTAAAGACAAGAAGGAATTAAACTATAAACTTTAAGCTAATGGAAATGCAGACATTGCATGTAACTGGAAGTGCTACGAATGTAAAAAAAAACCGCAGCATAAATTGCATACATTTCCAAACCGTGACTTTCAAAGTGGCTTATCATCCAGTCCACGGTTTTATATACTCGTATACGATACAGTGCAAATTCTGAAAACGTTCTGGTAACGCACGTGTACTTAGGCTTACAACTAACAAGTGGTTTGGATGGCCTACTGAAATAAAAGTTATCCATTAGTGAAAACCACACGCTTTGACTGAAATCAGAGCACTGTCGTGCTTATACACAGTCTGATATTGTACCACTTCAGTCGTATACACTGCTTATACCGTGCAAATTGCGCCCCCCCCCACCACAAAATTCGGATCATTGGCGCGCTTGCCAATTTAGTGCAGTTCACACACACGGACAAACAACTGTCAAGTTAGGACTCACTGAACAGTGCATATCAGAGTGCTATTCAGTCAGGTTGATGGCATTTCAAACTGAGTAGGACACTAACTGCGATCGATACACACACAGTGGTCAGGGCTCCCGACAACATTCACTGATATTTACTCCTTTACCACGGTCCCTCGGGCGATCAGTTGACGGCCGACGATGCGGATCTTGTGCATCAGCTTACGGAGTACACATTCCGGTTATCTAAACTTAATGAGGTAATACAAAACTCGTTTATCCGTGGCGTCTACACCCATCAATTTTACGAACGAGTGGTATGCGTCAAAGCAACGTATATATTGGGGCACGCAGTTTAAACAGCTATGTACAATAAGTACGGAAAGTCAAGCTCATCTGAGGCAGACAAGTATCCTGGATTAAAATGGCGCACCCACCATGCTATTAACGTGTACTGATAGCCGCTCACCATTGCGTACACATTGTGGGGCTGTCAGGTTGCAAATGCGTCGAGCCAGCCTGTCAAACAACGTGTGGTGACGATATGGTTTTGAGAAAGCAGCATTACTGGCTGTCTTGTTTTGAGCTGATGAATCACAAAATGTGTGTACGATGACGGCAGAGATGTCAAAGCGCAGTGCCACTGGCTGTCATTCCTCCATGTAGAGTCAAGTTTGCAGCGAGTTTCCGGTCGTCACAGTGCACTGCTATTACCAGTCAAACCCTCGGCTGCATCCAGGCGACCGACGTAGTGACGGTTCGATCGGCTGGACGTCCTAAGTTGACAGATGTCGTGCGTAGATGGGTGACAGCGATATTGTTGTCGTGTGCACACTTGCCAACAAAAAAATTGGGTATAGTTAGATCAGCTGTTTGTGCGTAATGTCAAACTAACAACAGAATTCTGCACTTACAAAATGATACATCGGTGATCTAGGTCATCAGAGACAAAAGCCTTGTGACACAATATCCTTCCAACCTATTATTTACACAAACCTTTGATATGCAACAACGTTGCGAATTAATTTTGATATGTCTATCAGAGTCTCGTATTTTGTTCTATTAGCCTCCGAAAACTGCGGGGTTCTCCTTAATCATCCGTGTTCTGCGGCTTCTTTGTAGTTTTGTAGCTTGAACACTGAAGCTGAATTCGATAGTAACCTTCATAAACAGAATGACGATGTAACACCGAGTTCACCCTAAGCCGTCCCTCGCAATTAGATTTGTAGCCAATTTAGAGAAAAGTGAAAACAGTCATACCTCCATTGGTTACAGTCTTTACGAGCGCTACACAGATAACATAGTTTGTCCGATTAAAAAGTGAGATGATACTCATACCCCCAGCGCTCCCCTACATTAACGTCACAATTAAACTAGAAGAGATGTACTGTTGCTACGGTGAATGGATGAATCCACTAAAGACTCTGTTGAGAAAAATGGACATGGACCGACCAATATACAAACTCACATAGCTTTTCTTTACTGAAATACTAGGAGAAGTTAGTGTTCAGTTTCGGAATCACAGCACAAAGCGAATGCACGTCAGACATTATATTGGACGAATCATTGCATATTCGGGTGTGCTCAGTCAAGATGGGTATCTCCAAAGTTTTCTGGACAAAAATGTTCAGTCTAAAACTGTTACCCAGACAGTGGAGAATAGGTTCATCTTATTCCTCCGCTTCATAGAGATGAAGTTGCTCACGAGGTGATAAGTCGGTGCCTATAGGGTTTAGTATTTGCTCTGCGGAATGGGTTGTCGTATTGTTCAATACTAGCCCGATATTGGTACTACACTTATCCAGAGTCACTTCCTCATACTCTTTTTTGCCGACCCGGTTATGTTGGAAGAACTATAAGGTGTTTGTCATGGATGATTAGAAACATCTTTCGAAATGACTTTACAATAGTTCGATAAAGTCTATCTCCACTGCGGTCGGTTCGTATCCGATCTACATTGGCCATCGAGCAAAACCGGAAGAATCAGCCACATTTCTTTACATAGTCTGGCAGTGCTCCTATCAGACTGTTGACAACGGCAGAAGCAATTGCCGTCAGACAGTATAATCTATGTGCGTGTTCGCGAAACAAGTTCGTTTAGACTCTTCAGCTTCTTCCACTAATCACTCCTAGTTCACTGAAACTCAAACAACCGTGAATCATTTAACACCGTTGGGCATATTGTCGATGACGAGTATGTATGTCACTATAATTAAGCATTCCCCAATTGCCTACGCCATCCTCCAGTTGTCGGTAATCTCCCTTGCCTATGATAGTTAATGACTTGTTCCGAATTTCGTATGTACTTCACGCGTCTAAGTTTAAAAATGAAAATGACCGAAAAATGTAGTTTACATAAATGAAGTCTTACGAATTGCCTAGAGAGACGGCAAGAAATGTAAGTTGGCGTCAACACTAATGCAATAATGGAAAATGCTTGTTTGATCTGCCGTCAGAATTTTTACGACAGACCGTCGGCTATTTCTCTCATAATGCCATCAACTATACCCATTGTCCTT